AAAGACTTCTAACTCTGGGAAATGAACTAGGGGTGGTGAGGGGGAGAGGTGGGGTGGGGGTAATGGTGATGCACTGAGGGGTACACTTGACGGGAATGAGCACGGTGTTATTCGTATGTTGGTAAATTGAACACTAATAAAAATTAATTTATAAAAAAAAAAAGATTTGTGGGAGGATTAGAGAGGAAATCAGTAACACCCTAAATGCAGTACTGATGATCACAAGGAGTTAATAAAAAAGTAATGTGAATTATTGTAATTGATCCTTCAAGTTCACATAAGCTGGTTGCCCGTGGAGTTAGGACAAGAAGTTCAGGTTTCTGATTCTGAGTCCAGTGTTCTCACCAGTGGAAAGTGGCAGTGTGAGATGCCAGGTCCTTTGGAAAAAACTGTGCCTATTGCTGTGGTTGACCCTGTGTAATGTCCTGTGGAGGCAGGGCAGGGTTGCTTATTACTCTAGAAAAAGCTACAAGAATTGGCCATCCCATGGAGACATTGATTAAATCTCCTTTCTTTTGGACATCAAGGTGGTGACAGAGGAATACTCAGTAGTCATCAGCTTGAGATCCCTCAGGTGATTTTTATGGATAATGGTGGTGAGTCATATTTTGAGCACATATGCTATGATTTGATTCATTTATGTCTTTGCATGGGAGTCTTCAAAATGCCCCTAATCTTAAGAAATCTAATTTAAATGACTCAAAAGTCTATAACTGAGGATAGTTTTCTACTAACTGGTTTTGTAATCCCATTTGTTTAAAATTGAATGTAAAGTTTTTGCCATTTTAAGGTTTAATTATCCATTTTCTGTGAGAACTAGAGTAATCTCTCAGATCGTTTCTCTCTGTACTATAAATACTATGCTATTAGGTAACTGGTCAGAAAGGTTTGGAGGTTGTCTCGACATCAGGCAACCAAAGGGGTAATAAATGAGGCAAAGCAATGAATTTGCCCAATTTCTAACGATTCTGGGTCCATTGTGTGTACAACAAATTTCTATATTTTGGCTGTGGGACCCAGGCTTAGCTAAGCTAAATACCACTGCTCTGGTTGTATGAAGATGTTTAGGAGTGGTTATGTGACTCAAAGAACCCAATAAGTTTTATCAGGATTTTTTTTTTCTCCTACAGTTATCAGGAAAGAGATACTTCCTTTTGGCAAAGTACCCTAGCTGAAAGATGGCATATGCCTAGAACTATGAGCAGCCATCATTATTATCCTGTGGGGACATCCTGCCTGGGAAGGAAACCAACAGAGAGGAAAGCAGAACTGAGGTGCGGACAGAAAAAAGTAGAATCTCAGTCATATCCCTTGATACAGCTATGCCTGAAACCAATACTGGCCTCAGATGTCCCACTTCCCTAAGTCAATTCCCTGTTTGTCTTAAAGTTATGCAAGTTGAGTGTTTGTCACTTAGATAGGTCCTTTACTTGCATTATTTCATTATGCTTATTATCCCCACTCTGTAGAAACTGAGACTCAGAAAAATTAAATACTTTGCTCAAGCTAACACAGCTGGGAAGTGGTGGCCCAAATTTGAGATTGGGCTGTTCTGACTCTATAGCTCATGTTTTTCCTTAGCTTGATTCATCCTCGGTGAGTACAGCTAATGAAGCCGGTGAAGCCAGACCTTGACAGCCTTAAGAAGACCGGCGTTGGCTCATGGGCAGGCCAATGACATTAAACGCTTCAGGCTGGTACACTGAGGGTCAGACAGGCTAACCATGGTCCTTGGATCCCATGCCCCATGCTTGGCTGCTCTGGAAATCCCCTTTGATTCAGGCTTCCCAACTTGTAGGAACTAAGTGGGTGGGATCAGATCTCCTTGGCCTCCCAGCAACCAGGCTACTGCCAAGTAGACAGATGCTGCAAGCAGAAACATTCCAGATATTTTAAAAAAGAAAACCATATCTGGGGGCATCACAATGCCAGATTTCAGGTTGTACTACAAAGCTGTGGTCATCAAGACAGTGTGGTACTGGCACAAAAACAGACACATAGATCAATGGAACAGAATAGAGAACCCAGAAGTGGACCCTGAACTTTATGGTCAACTAATATTCGATAAAGGAGGAAAGACGATCCACTGGAAGAAAGACAGTCTCTTCAATAAATGGTGCTGGGAAAATTGGACATCCACATGGAGAGGAATGAAACTAGACCACTCTCTTGCACCATACACAAAGATAAACTCAAAATGGATGAAAGATCTAAATGTGAGACAAGATTCCATCAAAATCCTAGAGGAGAACACAGGCAACACCCTTTTTGAACTTGGCCACAGTAACTTCTTGCAAGATACATCCACGAAAGCAAAAGAAACAAAAGCAAAAATGAACTATTGGGACTTCATCAAGATAAGAAGCTTTTGCACAGCAAAGGATACAGTCAACAAAACTCAAAGACAACCTACAGAATGGGAGAAGATATTTGCAAATAACATATCAGATAAAGGGCTAGTTTCCAAAATCTATAAAGAACTTATTAAACTCAACAGCAAAGAAACAAACAATCCAATCATGAAATGGGCAAAAGACATGAAGAGAAATCTCACAGAGGAAGACATAGACATGGCCAACATGCACATGAGAAAATGCTCTGCATCACTTGCCATCAGGGAAATACAAATCAAAACCACAATGAGATACCACCTCACACCAGTGAGAATGGGGAAAATTAACAACGCAGGAAACCACAAATGTTGGAGAGGATGCGGAGAAAAGGGAACACTCTTTCACTGTTGGTGGGAATGTGAACTGGTGCAGCCACTCTGGAAAACTGTGTGGAGGTTCCTCAAAGAGTTAAAAATAGACCTGCCCTACGACCCAGCAATTGCACTGTTAGGGATTTACCCCAAAGATTCAGATGCAATGAAAAGCCGGGACACCTGCACCCCGATGTTTCTAGCAGCCATGTCTACAATAGCCAAACTGTGGAAGGAGCCTCGGTGTCCATCGAAAGATGAATGGATAAAGAAGATGTGGTTTATGTATACAATGGAATATTCCTCAGCCATTAGAAATGACAAATACCCACCATTTGCTTCAACGTGGATGGAACTGGAGGGTATTATGCTGAGTGAAGTAAGTCAATCGGAGAAGGACAAACAGTGTATGTTCTCATTCATTTGGGAAATATGAATAATAGTGAAAGGGAATATAAGGGAAGGGAGAAGAAATGTGTGGGAAATATCAGAAAGGGAGACAGAACATAAAGACTTCTAACTCTGGGAAATGAACTAGGGGTGGTGGAGGGGGAGGAGGGCGGGGGGTGGGGGTGAGTGGGTGACGGGCACTGAGGGGGACACTTGACGGGATGAGCACTGGGTGTTATTCTGTATGTTGGTAAATTGAACACCAATAAAAATTAATTTATTAAAAAAAATAAAGTAAAATAAGTAACAAAGACTGCAAATTAAAAAAAAAAAAAAGAAACATTCCAGATGATGCCCTTAGCTTTGAGGTGCTAAGACTCCCCCCTCTATGTCTTGAAGCTTAGGACAAAAGAGCAGGAGCTGTTCAAATGTGAGATAATAGTAATTTTAATATTTAGTTCACAAAACATGCAGGTCAATAGTCAATGCATATACAATAGGATAGAGAAACAACAACAAAAATTAACGAAGCACAATCTAACTACATGGAGGCTTGCAAACAACGAAGTGCTGGTTAGAGAGTGTGCTAATTAAAAACCCAGCTGAGCCATACCTCAGTGCCTCAGATCTGACCAGGGACTTTCTGGTGGTAGGAAAGAGAGCTCCTTGTGTCCATGGCCTTCAAGTCAGATTGTGAGAACTTTTACAGTCTCCATGCCCCGGATTGCTCTGTTTTATCTTCTCCCATCCCTGCTTTTTTTTTTTTTTCCTTTTTTTCTTCTTCTTGAATTATCTATTCCTCCTTTGTCCCATCTGAGACAGTGAGTTCCATGAATACCCTTATCTGATATAGCCTAGAACCATTGCTGTCTCAGTAAGAAGGGTCTCTCTGAATTTATTTTGGCTGTTGCTGAATAAAATTCTTCTCAGTTTAATGGGCTGTGATCTGGTTTTTCCCAAACTGTCCAGGCTGAAGACCCCTATGAATAGTCCCCCTTCTTTCTGGAGGCCACTTTCATACATGCTATTGGTGTAAGGACTTTTTTCCATAAATAATAACCTGATGGTGAGATTCCCCCAGTGTCAATGCTGCTCTCTGATTAGATAGTTTTGAGAGACTGCCCTTATTTTAGTTCTCAGGAGACCTATTCTGGCTCTGGTACTGAGATGGAATTCTGGTGGCCTGGAAGGAGTTTAGCCTTTCTGCAGCAGTGATGTGAACACGGGGAAGGTGTGTGGCTGCCAAGAGCTTTCAGTTCTTGAACATCCAATGGTCCAACCACGGTAGGTGAATTTAGAGAAGGGAAGACCTCTCCAAGTAACAAAGCTGACCACAGTGTCAGGTAAGTGCTACTGTCAACTGACAGTGACCTCTAGCCATGCAAGTGTGCACCGGGGGTCACGTGATATAACATTATATTTAGGCTCATCACTTTGTTGTTGCCGTTTTTTGAAAGAACTGGTTTCAACTCATTCTCTAGGTTTCATCATTTGGTTTTTGCTGTATTTATCATGTATAGTCACAGTCCTGGAGAGCTCAAAGGGAAACAATTAGGATCAGGGAACATTTCATGGAATTTGAACTAAAGTATGTTTTTACAAAGTCAATATAGACAATATCAAAACTATTATTTTTTCATTTTCTCCTATTCGTGTGCAGGGGTGAAGCTAATTCAGAGACAGTGTGTCATTTCACTAATCTATTATTTATTTTAACTACATTTAGAATATCAAATATATTCAGATTACCCACAAATATCCTCTTCTCATTCTTGTAGGGATACTTTCTGGCCCGTGACAGAAAGAGGACCTGCAATGGAGAGCCCAGGAGACCCCTGGGGGCGTCTTGCTGGAATTAGCAGATGCCAACAAAAGCAGAAAGCTTTCCTTAAACTGAAATCGCTTCAGTCCAGGTAATGTCAAGATCACAGTGTAAGAAAACTCAGATAATGAGCTGGAGACATTACAAATATCTTTCCCTATCAGCTCTACTTCAATCAGTGTTTATTAGTAGCCAAGTTGGCCGGGGAGGTTAAAATCAAATAGTAGGAAATGATGTCTTTTGATGGACTCTCCTTTTTTCCTTTCAGAATTGTTCTGGGGGATGAGTTGGGAAATAGATCATCGATGAGCTATTGTCTGATAGGAATTCAAACCACATTCTATCATCAGATTAGAAAGGTTAAATTAAAAAAAAAAACAGAGGATTGGAAACTGTGAACTGTAGCGTCTAATTCATATCTGATAACTCAGCTGTTTTTGTGATGGAACATTAGAAACACAGAGACAGTGGCCCAGACCATCAGGCCTCCTTCCGGGTGAAATCAAGGTTTTTCTTACTTTCAACTGTGAGTCAAAAGCAATAAGGAGTCAAGGTAAAATTTCCCTGTTTTTCAAGTGAGCTCTAATTGGGGGGTTCTTCTGCCCATGCTGAGGTGCCTTGGAATGCTACACATAGTCGTACTTGGAGGGATGAGATTGCATCTCGTCCTCTGTGCGGGCACCCCCATCGTATATCTTCTTGTTTTTGCTGCTGGGCCCAAAGCCAGTGCTGGCCTTGAAGCCTCCTGGCTTGTAGGCGACATTGTGGCCTGAGGCATGATAAGACACGGCTTTGTAGCTGAGAGAAAAAGAAACATTCCATGACCACAGATGTATTTGGTAAGAAGGCAACCCCCTCCATTTACCCTGGGATGTCTCCTTTTTAGCACTGAAAGTCCAGCGTCCCAGTAAACCCTTAGTCCTGGGCAAACTGAGATGGTTGGTCACCTGAGGCTTTGAGACACTGGTTTTTCTGCTCCTGCACTGGAGCAGAATTTCTTGCCTTGTATTACAGCTGATAATTAGCGACTCGTGAGTTCCCTCTGTTAATCAATTAAAATGAAGCTGAACCCAAAACAATGTCCATTCATATCTGATAACTCAGCTCTTACCTAATTTATATCTGATAACTCAGCTGTTTTTGTGATGGAACATTAGAAACACAGAGACAGTGGCCCAGACCATCTGGCCTCCTTACGGGTGAAATCAAGGTTTTTCTTACTTTCAACTGTGAGTCAAAAGCAATAAGGAGTCAAGGTAAAATTTCCTTGTTTTTCAAGTGAGCTCTAATGGGGGGGGGGGTTCCTCTGCCCATGCTGAGGTACCTATGAGAGCACTATGAGGTAACTATGAGAACATAGTTATGCCAAAAAAAAAAAAATCACAGAATTTGTGAGCTGGAAGGTACATACACAGAGCCCATCTCCTCTAACCTGCTCAGTTTATGGATGAGCTAATAGAGGCCCAGAGAAGGGAAATGACTTGCTGGATCAGGATTGGGATTCAGGTCTCCCAGCTGCAGGTCCATTTAGGGAGCTATAGTGGGGTTTCTCTGCAGTAGTACTTTGGCATTTTGGAACAGATTCCTTTTTGTTGTGAGGGTCTCTCCTGTGCATTGTGGAAGGTTTAGCAGCATCCCTGGCCCCCACCCACTAGATCCCAGTATCACCTCCCTCCCTGCCCCCACTGCCCCAACCACCCAAAGCTGCAGCAGTCAAGAGCCTTCAGTTGTTGCCAAATATCTCCTGGTGGGCAGACCTGCTTTCAGTCGAGAACCACTGAATTACAGAATCCTGAAGTCAGAGGGAACTTAGGGGAATATTTTTCTCCTCAAACATGATCATTTCTAAATCTGCTCAGCTAAGATGTTCCTATTCTGTTCTTTAGGTTCCCCCAAAAAGAGAAGGTCCAGGATCCTTTAGTTAATAAATTCTTCCATAAACCTAGACTGATCATTCTGGCTGCAAATTATACTTTAAAATGGACTCGGATGAAATGTTTGATTGCACTGGGATGGGGAGACTCACTTGCTTTCTTCAGGAACCAGGCCCCGGCAGGCGATGCACATCATCACACCCCCAATTAGTGTGAGGCCTCCGGCGACCCAGCCCACGAACAGAGCTGAACCAAAGGTGTACCTGAGAGGGGAAATGAGGCTGTGAATGTGGGCAACTCAACTCTCCAGGCTCCACCCATGGCACTCAGCCACACCCATCCTCTCTGTCCACTCTTTTGGGTTCCACACCCATTCCCACCAGTACCGTTGAGCACACACTCCTTGGGGTCACAGCAAACTGAATGAGGTGCCCTAGAGAAGAGAATTGGGACTGAAACTAGTCAGCAAAACAGCAGAGGGATTCTCGGGCCCCCAGCATCACTCAGGCATGGAATTAATTATAAGTCTCTAATCTCAGAGAAACGTCTCTGGAAATCCACTTTCCTCCCTACTGGCATTGGGGAGTGTCTTAAAGATTTGGCAAGAGGAATTTGAGAGGTGTGGAATCAGTCTGAAGTTATTATTTCTGAAGGAATTTGGCCCTTTGAGTTCTTCCTGTGGGCCAATAAGCTTTCATCTTATGTAATTCAAGTACCCTCGTAGGCATCCATGCAGGTAGGAGCATTATCTTCAGAAAGAACTAAGTGAAGTGACCGTTCATTCTTTCATTCATTGTTTACACATTTGTTCAACATGTATTTATTGAGCTCCTACTATGTGCCCAACACTGCCTTGGCACTGGGACACAAGGGTGAACAAGACAGACACAGACCCTACTTTCCTGACGCTTCTGTTTCAGCCCACAGTGGAATCTGAACCTGTGATCATCGGACTCCAAAGCCGGTGCCCTTCCCCTAAGATGTATGCCTCCATGGGACTTGTTACATCTGAGCAAGACTGCCTGAGAACAAAGTGTCCAGAGAGTAAAATAATTCTGATTCCAAATGGACCTTTGTGGATGGTGGAGACCATGACCAAAAACTGATAGGATATCAGTGGGTGTTTCCGTGTTAGCTGGTAACTTTCCCTTCATCTCCAAGAGCCCCGCAGAAAAGGAGAGCTCAGCACAGTGGATACCTGCCCTTAGAGGCTTTCCCCTTGTGCTCATCGAGGAGTGTGGGGCTGTTTGTGGAACACCATGAATCACTGGTATGTTAAAAGTCACAAACTAAGAACACTATACCAGTAATTGGAAGACAGAAACATGTGTGCAGACCTCTGCAACCTAGGAAAATAAGATACTTTAGATGTGCTTAAAAAGTGCACACATTTTGGTAGGATCAAAGTCAGTGATATAAGCCTGATGACCAGTGTAATGTACACGGCAAAGCTAGCACACTGAGCTCAGGGCTTGAAAAAGTTCTGGAAGGGCAGCCTGGGTGGCTCAGTGGTTTAGTGCTGCCTTCAGCCCAGGGTGTGATCCTGGAGACCCGGGATCGAGTCCCACATCGAGCTACCTGCATGGAACCTGCTTCCCCCTCTGTCTGCATCTCTGCCTCTCTCTCTCTCTCTCTCTCTCTGTCTCTCATGAATAAATAAATGAAATCTTTATTTTATTTTTAAGATTTATTTATTTATTTATTTATTTATTTATTTATTTATTTATTCATGATAGATATGGAGAAAGAGAGAGGCAGAAACGCAGGCAGAAGGGGAAGCAGGCTCCATGCCTGGAGCCTGATGCGGGACTCGATCCCGGGACTCCAGGATTGCGCCCTGGGCCAAAGGCAGGCACCATACTGCTGAGCCACCCAGGGATCCCCTAAATGAAATCTTTAAAAAAATAAAAAGTTCTGGGAGAAAATTTATCTATAGGCTATCTTTATTTCCTTGGACTAGGAAAAGATAAGACATTTGATTTGAGGGCTGTTGGCTTGGAGTGAAGAACCCCATCCCACTCTCTTGGTCCTCCCCAGTGTGGCTAGGGGTTTAACTGCTGACCTCGTCCTGGGGTTCCTCCTGAGCGGTCCCTGGGTGAATCTTCTGGGGGGAGTCCTGGCCCTTCTGCCCTGGCACAGAACCCCTGTCCTTGATACTCCTCTAGATGGCTGAGTGACTGCATAATGTTAATGACAACAATCGCTACCATTTATTGAGCCCTTACTGACATTGTGATGGACACTTTTACCACAATTCTATTTAGCTCTTCCATCAGCTCCATTTGGTGGGATTTATCACTCCCATTTTATAGATGAAGAGAGTGAGGCTCAGCTCAGAGAGGCTAAGGAGCTTTTTCAAAGACCCAGGAAGGAACTGCTGGAATTCAAATACAGATCCCTTTGCCTCCAGAGGCCTCATTGTTAGTCATTAAGCTAATACTATCTTCTGTGCATGGGGAATGAGGTCCCCTCCTTTTACTTAGATCCTTTTGGTCAAGGTTAGCAAACCTAAATACCTAACTGGGACAGCTATGAAATTTAAATGAGTGAAGTGGGCCGAGTATGAGAAAATATTTCACTCTCTTAATTCTATTATATGGGGAAAAAACCCCACAAGCATAATGATAAATGACCTCAGATTTGGGACATTTGAGAGGTTGGGGCTGTGATGAACTAGAGAGGGTAAGTCCTTGTATCTGTCTCAGCTAGAGACTGTTGCCATAGAGGGCCCATTACTGTCAGATCGGATTTTTTTTTTTTACAAGAAGCTGGAAAAACAGATTGTGTACCTGGGTGTGCGCACATGCACATGTGTACTGTGAAATATCCTTGTAGCAAACACTAATGATGTTCCGCCCAGGTTCCCTAGGTTCCTTTACCCATTTCTTCTTCAGCTCCTGAGGTCTTTGCCTTTGCCTGCAGTCTCCACATCTCCCCCTGGAACTTCTGCTTTGGTATAGCTACTGGAGCCATTTTGCCTGGTGCACAGAAGCTGACTGGTGCTAAAGTGTGAAAGTTTGGAGTCAAGACATCTCTGAGGTGTGCTTCATGCCCCACAGCTCCCCAGGATTGGGCTGAGTCCCAGCCTTCATTGCACCCGCTTCTCTATCCTGGGTGCCCCACCCCCTTCCCAGTCTCCCCTTCCGTAATAAATCACTTGCACAAGGAGTCTTGGATCTGTTCCTGAGTAATCCAACCTATGACACTTCCTATTTTTAAAAGTTGATGATTAATCCAAGATATAAAATGAAATGTTTAGGCTAATATAAAACACCTTGCAAGCTGTGTATAACCTGAAGGCAGGCAGTTTGTAGCTCAGGTTCTCAGTATCGCAATAGCAGAGGAGGGGATACCAGAAAGTGCTTTCAATTGATTGCCAAGATCTTTCTTGGCAGCTGTGCTGTTCTGTGTGATTTCTGGGTAGAGAGGTGAGAAGACAGAAAGAAAGGAAAAACTGCTGCCCATCCATGGAGGAAGGCATTCAGGAGGTCTCTCAGAATCCTATAGTCTTGATCTAAGGACTGAAGTTAGCTGTTCAAGGGACAGGGTAGGTTCTAGGGAGATGATGTGGGATAATGATGGAGGGCATTAGTGCTGGGTGCCAATGGGATGGGTGACTCCTCTGGGCAGGGACAGTGATACTAGGCATCCAGATCCTCCAGATAAGATAGCTCTTCTGAGTAGGCTGACCAACCATCCTGATTTGCCTATGAAGCAAGAGTTTCCCAGGATATGGGACTGTCAGTGCTAAAACTGGTAAAGTCCCAAGAGAAGCAAAATGAGTTGGCCAGCATACTTCTAAGTTACCCTAGTAACCAAGAGACCACGGGAACATCACAAAGGAGGATGAGGGGAGATGATGGGAATCATTTCCTTTCATTCTTGAAACAAAGCAAGAACATGGATGGGGACTGGAGTCCCAGGGAGCCAGAGAGTAACGGATTCATTGCATCCTCACCCCCTATTGTATCCCTTGATGGTGTGGCTGGAGAAATACCAAGTGTATCCACTCCAGAGATGATGGGTCACTTAGATATTATATTTAGATCATTCACAGAACAAGATTTTTCTTCTTCAAAAACTCACTGCTGATTCTTACAAATATGTCCTTTTGAAATGGCTAAATGAATATGGATGTTAGAATTGCTCTTCAATCACTTAAAAGTTCTACTCTCCTTCATAAACCAAATTATAGTGTGGTTTCATCTCCCTCAGCTAGACCAAAACCTCCATGAGGATGGGGACTTAGTCTTATTCCAAGTACTCAGAACAGTTCCAGACCCACCGCAGGTTCTCCATACATTTGTAGAATGAATGCATGTATGAATGAGAGGAAGAAGCAGTTATACAAGGAAGAAACATAACATTACTCTTCTCACATATATTGCACCTTGCTCAATTCCACTCAAGCTTTCACCTATCCCTAGCCAGGGTCCCATCATGGCCTGGAGATGCAGGTTGATGCTCATTTACATGCCTGGCCTAATAGTGCCTGTTTCACTGCCACCACAATGGGGCCTGTGTAAGCGTGTTAGATAAATACTGTGAACTGTCGCTGTATTTCAATGCAAATGTCAGCTCAGCCTCAAGTCATAGTACCAAGGATATTTCACTGAAATGAAGATTATGAATTTACGGATCATTGTTGATTTATGATATGGCATGGTTGCCTCTGATAAATTTTTGCTATTTCAGGTACTGACAGTCACATTAGGCATATGTGTTTAATAGGATTTTTACAACAATATTCACTACAGAATACTAAGATTAGATTAGGAGGTTACCTGGTCTGAACGGTCTGCACCATCCCACCCAGGCCAGTGTACATGTTAGCTGTAGACATCCAGAAGTTAGTAACCAGCATGTTGGCAAATACAGATACTCCAACGATTGCACAGAGACCTGTTGGCCAAGAACAAGAAAGCTCCATAGTCAACTTTAAAGGGATCACGATGTTTCTGAGGCAATGTGTGCTTAAATGAGTTTAGATGAGCAAGCTGAAGAATATTCCCTTTCTTTTTTTTTTTAAGATTTTATTTATTTATTCATGAGAAACACAGAGAGGAGAGAGAGAGAGGCAGAGACATAGGCAGAGGGAGAAGTAGGCTCCGTGCAGGGAGCCTGACGTGGGACTCGATCCCGGGTCCCCAGGATCACGCCCTGGGCCGAAGGCAGTGCTAAACCGCTGAGCCACCGGGGCTGCCCGAATATCCCTTTTCTATAACAGAATGGCTAATCCAAGCACTGATTATTGAATTCCCACTATGTGCTAGACATTATGTTAAGTGCTTAGACTCTCTTATCTTTCTAATTGTGGAAGGATTTGTATGTGTGCAGAAAGAGATTTTCCAGCATCTTGGGACAAGGGATTAATAATACAAATATTTTGGGCCTGGTCCTTTGATGGTGTCAAGTGCTCTTCCCTTAAAATCATTTTCTAGAGTCTTACCAAAATAATGCCTTTAGAGACTGAGTCACATGACTACCTTAGGATTGAGAATCTTTTCTAATAAAGTGGCGTGGCAGCTGAGGGGGACCTTAACACTCATGGTAATTTTGTAGAGCACAATTGGGCCCTAATCTCAGATCTTGAATCCTAGTGTATAAAGCTCTGATCCATGTTCAAACTATGCTCAGTAGGGAGAAGCCATATTTTCTTTGCCAGAATGATTTTGCTTTGACATTCCCACAAGCACATTTGAGAGAGGGAATCCGGGCTCCTTGTTTACCTGAGATGATGAACATGATCCCAGAGGTCAGTGTCATGTTGGCTTTGGCGGAGTCCTCCATGCTGCCAATGCGGATGCACTTCAGGGCAAAGATGGATACCAGGAGGCCGATGGCACCCAGAACAATGCCCACGATCATCAGGGCTCGCACTGCCTGCAGCATGGCTGTGGGACAATGGACAAGACACAGGCTGACAGATAAGACCATCTCCACATGACTGATTAAGTTTTGGTGTAATGAAATAAAGCAACCATAATCAACCAGCACCAAATTGCTGAGAAATAGCAAGTCCATAAACTATGAACCTTGTCACTGCTAGGGGATGTGGTATTGTGAGAAATGCAAAACCACCATGTATAATCCTCTGATTGTTGAAGGACCTGCACACAGTTGTCTGTAGAATAAGAATATTGTGGTGCTGGGACAGCCAATGGAATTTAGCTATTTCATTTCCTCATATTAAAGCTTGATAATCTGAGGTCTAGGCAGAGGAAATGGCTTGACAAAGGAGACATGAAAAATTATTGATAGAACTTACAGTAAAACTGTGTGGCTTTGACTTCTAACCCAAACATCTTTCTCCTCCAGTCTTTTCATATAGGCTTAATGCTTCGTATCATTGTGTCCACTTTAGGAAAACCCAGTATTCATTTACAGCATGTGATGGAGCAAGGTTACTAGGGGATATAAGAAGGACACCATATTTTTGCCTCTTTCCAAAGGGACTACTAGGGTCAGGGTGAGCTGTAGGTTTTGGGTGTGTATAAAAGGACTGCTAGATCAATCAGAGGCCTTTCAACACAATCAGTTTATCAGCTGTTCCTATCTCAGGAAGCAATGGAGACTGTAGGTCCAGCTAGGACTCTCCAGCCATGACCTCCCTTCCAGATATATCCAAAGTGGTTTTAGTGTATCCTTAATATGCAGTGACTCATTTCAACACTTTTTCTAAGCCCCTATGACTATTGCACAGGGATCACAGTAATTAATAGGTTAAACATGGTCTTTGCACTCATGGATCGTGTGCCAAAGTAGGGAAAGACAGTCATTAAACATGCCCATAATGCATTTTTCAGAAGAAAGGCAAATGAATCCTTGGTGTTCTCCAGAGGGAAAGACCCCAAGCATGGGTATTTCTGGTAGAGAAGAACTGAAGAATTATGTGAAGTAAAGCAGAAAGCTCTGTCCTACCCTAGTTATCATAGCCAATTGCTACTTTTTGACTGAAAACTATTAGTGGCTTTTCAGGCATGAAAAAATTTAATCCACAGAAAAAAATCCCTGCAATGTAGGTGATATGATTACCTCCATTTTATAGTTGAAGAAACTGAGAGAAGTTAAGGATCTTGCCCAAGGACACATATCAAGTGACAAGTAAGAGCCAGGGGTCAAACCTAGAACTATCTCAAAATGGGGTTACTTTTTCCATTACAGTACATTGCTGAGGTACCTAATCCTGGAAAAAACAGGCTGCCATCAATGTAAGGGGATCTGTAAGCACCTAAGAGAATGTATCCTCCAAACTTGGAGACTCAGCCATGAAATACCATCCTCTAAAATGGATGCTAAAAATGTATAAAGACATATTCTCTAAATATCATCTCAGGAATAGCCTGTCCCAGGAGATTATTTCTAAATGTGACTCTCAAGACAAGGAATCTCCTGGGAGGAATTTCTCTCTAATCTCTTCAGGAAGATGTCCATCTCAAATATGGCCAATATCACTGGAGCTGCCAGCTTATTCACTCTAAGGTGTGTATCACAAAGCAATTAGTCATGATGGAAGAATTGGCAATCAATGAAGTATATTGAAAAAGGAGCAGTAGATCATGCAGACCTCATTTAAGAGCCTTCTGTGTTGTCTGAGAAATGGAGGCCCTGGCAACTCTCTCCCTGTATGGAGATGATGGTATCCAGCCACTCTAGTTCTATGCCACTTGATTCCAATTCTCTTCTTTCTGAAGAAACTTCTCTAGTGAAAAGAGAATTCTACATGCAGCCATCATCAGTCTTGGTCTTACTGCAACTATATTGGCAGGGTTAATATGTTGGTTTATGGTGTGGATCAAGCCTCCATTCTTTCCTGGGAGAATTGAACTGATTAACATTGCTATGTTGGGTTGCAGTTGAGTTTTCACGCTAGAGCCATGGTGTCCCCGGTAGAGTGAAGAGAACTCAGGAAGGCCTTGGAGTGGCCCTTGGATCCACTCCTAATATAGGAGGGCTCTGGAGGGTCACCTACATTCCCTAAAGCTTTGCCCAGTGGCTTTGCTGGCCCTACAGGATACGGGGAGCAAACACTCTGTTCAGTCTCTTATTAACAAATGCAAGTGTACAACATCTAGTTGTATATTCATTTACATTTTTGTGTTTACATCCAGCACATTTTGGCATATGCTCATAATCATATGTTACATAACCATACAACTCATCCATGAAGTCAGTCATTCATTCATCAATACTTTAAAGCTCAAATTCTCTACAAAACCCTTTGTCAGATGCTGTAGGAGGTATAAAGTTTCATGAAAAATAATCACTGCCTTCAAGGAGTTTACAACCTGAGAAGATCATATTTCTACTGGAAATTCTTTTTTTTTAAATTTTTATTTATTTATGATAGTCATCACAGAGAGAGAGAGAGAGAGAGGCAGAGACATAGGCAGAGGGAGAAGCAGGCTCCATGCACCCGGAGCCCGACGTGGGATTCAATCGCGGGTCTCCAGGATCGCGCCCTGGGCCAAAGGCAGGCGCCAAACCGCTGCGCCACCCAGGGATCCCCTCTACTGGAAATTCTGAACCTCAAATTTCTTTTCACTTTGGGAGTGCTTGGCTAAGTAATAATAGAACCACTTTCTCATAGTTGCTCATGATGTGGTTTTAATTCTCTTTAACACATATAATTACACTACAAGCCTGGTTCAGGACTGCTATGGAAAGGACATTTGTGGGGCAGTCCCAGACTTCAGGAAATATCCTCCAGGCTATACTAATATGTATGTTACTATCAGAAAACTGGACATATGGGAAAAGGAAGGAACTTCACTTTCTCTCTATCTTGTCCTCATTGGCCTCTTGCAAACTTCAAATCCACCCAGAAGCCCACTGGAGGTTTTAAACATTGCTCTCATTCTGATATTTTAAGCCTTAAGCTATTTAGAGAACAAAATCATTTATCCCTTTTGAGAAGCACCTGGCAAGGCATCTGGTTAAAACAACCAAAAACCAATCAACCAACCAGCCAACCAAACAAACAAACAAACAAAAAACAAATAAACAATATTAATTAAGCAGGACAAAGGATGTCCCTTCCTCATTATACAAAAACATTACATTTCTCCTGGACTCTTGGCGAGGATGGGGTCATTGACTTTTCTGACTGAGTAGTTTTAATGTTTATTCCTGAAAACATATCACCAGGTGGCTGTGGCTGAGGCACATGGTCTTGCCTGACATTGCTGGATTAGAAAGGCTGTGGGCAGTTGCTGCTGCTGTGCCATGGCAGCCCTTGGGTATGGGAGCCCCTGCCAGCCTATCTTAGTCAGCCTTCGCCTCAGGCTCTCACAGGCCTTCTTGCCTCTGCTGGGTCAGGTTTGCATGACAAGGCCCATTTTTTCCTGCTCTTTCTTGATCTCTGGATTTCTGATAAACGCTGGCACCTACTTTGAAACAGGGGTCCACCTTCACCCTGAGTAGCTTTTTATTTCTTAGAATCTGTTTCTAGCTTACTCCTGCCCCTTTCTTTTAGCCTGTGGTTGGAAAAGACACAACACTGTTTTATATCTTGTGGGACCACTGTCCAAGTCCCAACCCTGAGCCTGGATGGATGGACCAAAGCCTTCCTTGCTTTGGAGATTCCTTGAGGGGTTCTTTTGAGAGTGGGAGCTATGATGGGGGCAAGTTCCAGGAAGCGGGAGGAAATATTATCCACCGCTCGTTGCCAGAAACTCCCTATGTCTAGTAATGACCATGGAGATACATGGAGGTGATCTCAACTTCCTTTCCAGCTGGAAGATTCTATCATATGGGGTTCTAATCCTTCATAGATGGGTATCCAGAGAAACCGCTCCCAAAGGAAGTAAGTTTCTCTTTTAGCCACTCTGTCCCTTATTTGCTATTCCAAGCAAGAGGCTGTATAGGCTTATCAGCTGATAACAGGTGAGTCAACGGCTTTTTAGACTGATTCCCCCCACTAAAGGTGTGACTACTGCATTCTTTCCAATGAACAATGAGGCATTATCGGGCTTGGAAGGGTGGGCAGGATTCAGGGCTGACAGAAGCAAACAGAAAAAAAGGGAACTCCATGTTCCCTCCCTATTGCAAAATAGCAAATTCCCCCAAAGCAGCTATGCACTGACAGGCAAGGTGCCTTTGGATCTGGTTCCCACCCCCGGTTATACCTTAGCATCTCCTGGGGGAACTTATAAAGAAATGTTAGATTTTGCCTCCACCCTTAGAGATTTTCATTTAATTGTTTAATAACATAAAATTTCAAGGAATAATCTGGGAAAACTGCCCTCAAGAGGGCTCAGGAGGAGGTACTCAGAGTGACGAGTTGAGAGGAAAGAGTTCCCAGTGGCTGACATCCCTGAGCTAGCTGGGGTGCGGGGATGGGACTTACGAGACAAGGGCCTGGACCTGGGGCTTTGTTGGTGGGGTTAGAGAGGACCCATACTTCAAGGTACAGTGTGACTTCAGATTGGAGGCAGGGAGGGCTGATGGAAAAGCGTGATGGGGTCAGTTTCTTCCACCAGACATTGGGAAAAGACAAAAGCTGGTCTCACAAGATCATGAACGTTGGATTTAATGTGAAACACTTAGCCACTAGTAAGGGAAAATAAACCAGCTGGCTCCTTTAGAAAAGATGCTGAAAAGCAATTTCATATTTTTTCCTTTATGGTTTTTTGTTTTAGATTTTGTAGAATTGTTTTCTGGGTTAAATATGATTTTGTTAAAACTCCCCATTTCCATGCATGTAAATATGATCGACAGGTTGATGGGACACTCCTAGCTCTCCAGGAGCTGTTGTTTTTTCACATTGCAATCAAAAGGGGCAATGTGGCCAGTTGTATTAAAAAAGAAAAAGCAGGGATCCCTGGGTGGCGCAGCGGTTTGGCGCCTGCCTTTGGCCCAGGGCGCGATCCTGGAGACCCGGGATCGAATCCCA